AAGAGCCAGGGCAAGCTTCAGGCGACACCTTATGAGTGGGAGGGGACCCTCGAACTGCAGCGATCGATCGCCCTGGGAATCAGCTGAGGCTGCGGGCGATTTGTGGGGCCACGTTCCCCCAGCCCATTTGCTCTCTGCGTGCCAGGGGAATGAATAAATCATTGTTCAGGGGCGGGATGCAGCTGCCGAGCTCCTCCCCTCGGCACATGCCCCGACTCCAGCTCCCCCATTGAGGGCTGCTGGAGCAGAGCGGTTTATACACCCAGCTCCCCAAATCCTATTGAGTCCGCCCCCTCCGCACGAGCCACCGGCTCCAGGCCCATTCAGCCCGGCCCTTTGTGCTGGGGGTTAAGTGGTTACATGTGGGGGGCACCCAGAAAGGAACTGTCAGGCCCTGAAAGGCTGTGCTGATTCGTGCCCTCCTACTGATGAATGGGCCGGTAGAGCAGAGGTGGGCGGCCCAGGGTGGGGTTGGGGAGAGGGCATGGGGATTATGCAGCCCATGGAGGCAGCTGCTAGGAAGTGGGTGGAACCGGCACCCCTCCTCTCACCCCGCCTTCACTTCAGCTTCTCCATCTAGCTTCCTCCCTCTGTGGATGCTCAACAGCCTTGGGACCTTGGATTTGGCTTTCTGGTCTCCTGGTGGAAGAGGGTTTGGAGAGGCCATTTACCATTTGGATGTACTGGAGTGTCTACACCATCTTTCATTCTTCCAGCAGCCCCAAAACGCACCTCTGTCTCTTTTTCCCCTTGCAGGGTGGGGAATTCATTTCCTAGGTTCATCCGGTACAGTGTGTTTGAAACTGTGCCCCACTGAGATTCGAAAGCTTCCTGGGAGCCCTCTCAGGAGCCATTGATAGTGGAAGGTTCAGGAGAAGAGAGAAGATCTTAAACTGGGTGTACTGAAAGATTTTGTTGAAGAAACAAGGATTCCAAGGCTTTAAAAAAAAAGGCTTTAAAATTTCTGATTGGATGTGCCTCTCCCTCATTTTACAGCTGAGCAAGCAGCCAAAATGGAGGGTGAGGAATGGCTGTGTTTTACTTAAGGTGATCACACAGTAGTTTGTTGCCAGCCTAGAAAGGCACTTTACCTTTAAGAGACAGGAGAAATGGATGAACAAAACAACTAGGTCACCAGCTTCCTAGGTCTTCCTTTCCCAAGATGAGTCAATTCTGGGGAATAATTTTCCTTCTAGTTTGCCCTAAGGGCTCTCTGGGATGTCAGGGGTCCGCTGGGGCTGTGCCTGGTCTTGGGAGCCCAAGTAACAATGTTCACCACTATAATGTTATTGAACACTTTTCAAGGCATATTATCTTTATTTAGCCCCAAAAGGCTAAAACGATTTGATTTGCCTAAGTTTCCAAAGCCATGGGGGTAAGTTAACAGGTGATGTGAGCTCAAGAAAAGAGAAGAAAGCAAGTTAGCCATGTAGTTTGTATGTCATCCAGGACTGTGCTTTGCTCTGATGTAGAACCTTTGAGGGCTTCCTCAGTTACTCCCCTGCTGGCGCCACAGGGTGAAACCCAAGCTCCTTGGCATGGTGGTCAAGACCTTTCACAACTGGGCCAACTTTTTCCTCCTGCCTCATCTTACCTCCATTTACCCACAAGCTCCAGCCACACTGGCCCACTCTGTGTTTCCTGAACTCACTATGAATATTCACTCTACTATGCCTTCCCCTGCTTTCTCTTGGTGAGCAAGGCCTGGCTCAAATATCACCTCTCTGATGCTTTTCCTTATCCTCTTTTGCGCTCATTACTGTTGCCTCCTGGCTCTGTTGCAGGGCACATCACATTGTGTACCTCACTCTTTTCTGTTTGTTTCCCTTTCTAAGCAGGGAGCCTCCCAAGACCATGGCCAGTTCTGATTTTGGTCTTGGTTCCCATCACAATAGCCGGCACAAGGCAAGCACTGTGTTTACAACTGTGTGCTGCATGTGAATGAGTGGATGAAAAGGGGCAAGGTCTTTGAGGCTGAAACATCTTCGTCCTACCCACCCCTTTCTTCCTGTTAATATTGGCATTGAGAAAGTATCTACGTGGGAAGAGACCTTATGCCTATCCTATTTCTTGGAGTAGAAATTCCTTTTATCTTCCCTTGTCTCCTTGCCTCTGATTTCTGTGTTCCTGCTGATCAAGTCCCTGGCATATATGTGGGTGGGTGGACACAGCCACAGATACCCTTTCACTTGGGGCGATTGACTCCCTGGAGTCCTGACTGGAAAAGCTTCTGGGTGAGTGAATAACAGACATCTCTACGGCTGTGTTTCTGTCTTCATGCGGACATGGACACCTCTGCCTTCCTGGGGCTTTTTGTTCTCCAGGCTCCTAGCTCTGAAAATTACAGAGTGGTCAGGACCACTGTCTGAGCACTGGCTGTATTAATTATACCGGCACTACAGTATTCCCCACAACATTGCCCTTGGCTAAGAAAAGAGGCTACAGTCTGATGCCTTTGGAATTCACTTGACTTATCAGGTATTAGGTTATTTAGAAGCAACTAATTTTATAGGACAATGGAATTGATGACTCAGCTATGCCAGGCTGGGTGCTGCCCTGCAGAGCATAATATAGGCTTTAAATCAATGTATATAATTCTTTGTCTTTTGTAGCCAGAATACCTAGGAGGAGGTAGTGGTGGGTGTGGCATCTTATGTGATTGCACCTGAGGACTCTCTAAGAGTTTGCTTCCTGTCTTTGAGGTTCTAGGTGCTTCAGGTGAGAAGGTTTTAGTATCTTGGGAGGAATGTTTCTAACCAGAAAACACAAAGATGATTCCATTGGATTTCAGGCATTTCAGCCCCCTCATAGCAATAGAGGAATAGAAGAAAGAGGGACAAGAGGAAATGGAGTTAATACTACTTACTGAGCGGTTTGAGAGGTACGTAGTAGAACCCAGGGGAGCCCTGGGTCACCACCTTGTGCTATTGTGTTAATCAGGATTCTTTTTTTTTTTTTTTTTGAGACAGAGTCTCACTTTGTTGCCCAGGCTAGAGTGAGTGCCGTGGCATCAGCCTAGCTCACAGCAACCTCAATCTCCTGGGCTCAAGCAATCCTGCTGCCTCAGCTCCCGTAGGCTGGGACTACAGGCATGTGCCACCATGCCCGGCTAATTTTTTCTATATATATATTACTTGGCCAATTAATTTCTTTCTATTTTTATAGTAGAGACGGGGTCTTGCTCTTGCTCAGGCTGGTTTTGAACTCCTGACCTCGGGCAATCCTCCCGCCTTGGCCTCCCAGAGTGCTAGGATTATAGGCGTGAGCCACCGCACCTGGCCAATCAGGATTCTTTTGATTATTAGTGGAAGAAATTCTTCTCAGGTTAGGCCTGGCAAAATAAGGGCCTCGTTGGAAGGCATACAAAACTATAAAGCCTCGGGAAACAGGGACTGGAACATTATCAGGACTTCTGTCTTTCATCTCAGCTGCTGTGTGTCAGCATCATTTTCTCCTACTCCATACGGACTTCCTTTGCTTGGCGGGGAATATGATTGTTGCTGCCCTAGGCTCACAGCTTCCTGCTTTGTCTTCCTTTAATTGCATTTCAGAAAGTCCCAGAGAAGGACTCTGACTGGCTCACCTAGAGTGGGGTTCCTATCCCAGGCTCTCATTTCACCCCTGTAGTTAGAGCTGGGAGAGACCCCAAAGGAGAGGCAGGGGAGGGCTGCTGTGGGCAGACCAAACAATTAGGTGACTTTATGGCTCTACGGTATGGCGAGAACTGCATAACCCTAGACCACCAATGCTCAGAGCCTTTAGGAGTGAGGATTTGGGTCACCTTCTAAGAGGAAAAACCCTGGCTGCAGGGGAACTTGCAGGGGATACAGGAAGGGGGAAGATTAGTTAGGTCACAGAACCTGATGTGGAAATGGGGCTGAGGTCTCCACCTGTATTTTCTTAACTAGAAGAGGATGCAAAGTTGGAGTTATTTCTGCCTTTTCCTTTTTATATCTTTTTCCCTCTTAAAATAGTTGTCATAATCATAAAATTTTCTTTTCTATTTCCCTTATTTTTGTATATAGGATTTGTGATTTTATTTGCTGTTTAGTCTCCAGGTTGCAGAATGGTGAGTTGGACTCAAGTTGGGACAGGGAAGAGGATGCCTCACATCATCAGAGTGAGCAATTACTGTGCTCCGTTTTCTTTGATTGCAGACTGGGTCCCCAGCCTTTACTCATGTCCCCAAAGAGGCAGGGAGCGAGGAGTCGGGGCTCAGTAAAGTAGAACTCTGAGAAGAATCCACTGGAGTTTGGACGTCCAAACCCTCTCTTACCACGTTGCTCCTCCTCACCCCGGCGAAGGCACAGGCGCCCCGTGCGCAGGCGCGGGTGGGGTCCTCTGTCCCGCGAGGACAGCACCACTGTCCCGGGTGCTGGACGTTGGCCCCGAGTCCTGCCCCAGGCCGCGTTTTCTTTCTTGTCTTACAACGTAGTTTTCATTATGTGACTTTAATTAAGTAAACACAAAATAGATATATAATTCCGAATTGTGATAAATGTTATGATGGAAAGGAACTAAAGTGCCCTAGCCCTAAATATAAAAGGGGGAACTAATGTGGTCTAGGGTGTCAGAGAGGGTGTCTCAGAGATCTGAAATACGAGCATCAGAGCATCGAGAGGGCAAGAGGATTTAGGCGGAGGGGAAGGAGGAAGGGAGCGCGAGGCCCAGCTGCAGAGAGGAGCGGGATGAGGCTGGAGAGGCTGCAGCCTTAGGGCTGTCCCTGTGATGGGGACCGCATAGAGGCGCTTAAAGCCCAAAGGTGGTGCCCGACCAGACTTTCATCTCGGCCTGTCACTGTGTGTGCGGGGAGGTGGGCCGATCCGAGGGCCCCGCGCACGCTGGAGAGAGAAGGCGGGAGGCGGCAGCGGGCCTGGAAGGCCGGCGTCACGGCAGCCAGAGGCCCCGGCGGGGACGGGGAGGCGGTCCCGGCGCGGCCCGGCGGAAAACCCGAACCGGCCCACGTGGCCGCCCGCGCCGCCCCGCCCCGCCGCGCAGCCGCCGCCGGACTCCGCAGTCCGGGCCTGGGGCTGGGCGCCGCCCGGGAGCCCTGCACCACGCCGGCCCGGGACGCCCAGGCCGGGGACCCAACCCCCGGCCCGCAGTGGCGGTTCCCGAACCCGGACTGGCGGAAGCGGAGCCAGCCGCGCCGGAGCGGGCGCCTCTAGGCCGTGAGTCTGGGCCGAGGGGAGGGCTTGGGGCCCAGCCGCGGGAGGGGGGTCACAGCCCCCGCTAGCTGCCTCCTTAGCGAAGATTAGGGGAGGACGCCCTCTGCCCTCTGTCTCCTGGGGGGGTCTCCCTGCCCTGCACAGCCAGGAAAGGAGGCCATCTCCCCCAGTCTTACACAGCTACCCCGCCCGCATCTTGGGGTGTCTGGGTTCCCATTTCAGCAGCTCTGAGAACCCTTGAGCCCTATGCCACCCCCCCCCCGCCCCATCCCAGCCTTCTTCGTGGCCCCGCCCCAGTTTAGGAAAAAGGAAAAATTGGGGCAAGGGGAGATCTCCAAGCACCTTCCCACAAGCCTTGCTGAGAGGGATGGGGCTACGCAGGTCACAAAGCTGTTCCCACACCACACCCTCCAGGACTTCTGCCCGCTGCTGGGGGTGGGGAGGGTCCCTGCCCCCTGCAGAGATCCTCCTAGTGCCCGCTCCACTTAACAGTATCCCCCACACTTCACGATCCCCAATTTTTCTAATCCTAGTAGTAATGTGTGGTTAGTAGAAACCTCTTGTCAATCCAAACCCTACTTTTGGTAGAAGCTGGTTATTGGGGAAAGAAGAGTGGTGTGGCATGCCTTCCCTGCAGGGCTTCAGGTTGGAGCAAGCTGGGGCCTGGGACACAAGATAGTAGACACGTTCCAGGGGGCCTGGAGGGAAGGGGGCAAGCTCAGGAGTGACGCTTGTCAGTCCGGGAAGGGGGCTCCCTTGGGCAGGAGGTGAACTGAACCCAGCTCTTCCAGCCCTGAGCAGTGAGCAGTAGCTTCCTGCTACCCTGGCTCCATCTTCCTGAGCAGGGAAGTCCACTGCAGTCCCGGTCACGTTCACTCAGCAAGTGCCTGCATGTGCTGCAGCTAGGCTCTGTGCTGGCTCCTGGGGATGTGACAGAGGACATATGCGGGACTTCCAAGTCTGGTCAGGGAGCCAGATTATAAACTTCTGTTACAACACTGTTAAACAACAAATGCCAGTTCAGTAGAAATTTACTGACCATCAGCTATGTATGCCAGGGACAGGACACAGGCTTGGATAAGCCAGTGAGTACTCAGCGCTCTGGGGGCCCAGAGGAAGGCATCGTTAACTGCATCTGTGTATTTGTGGGGAGAGTATCAGGGAGGCTTCAGAGAGGTGGGGATGTTAGAGCTGGGTTCTGAAGTCCAAAAAGAAACTTGCAGGGTGGAGAAGGGAGGCGCTTGGAGGGGAGGGGAGAGGAGAGGGTGGATATTACAGGCCAAAGGAAAAGTGTGAGGAGGGTGAAACACAGTGGCGTGTTTTCAGATCTCTGAGCGGGTTGGTGTGATGGGGGGCAGAGAGGCGAGAGGAAAGCGTGGAGGGGTGAGCAGGGGCCAGATCAAGCAGGGCCTTGTAGGCCATGTAGAGGTTTAGCAGGAGTTTGGGGAGGGCACTGGGAGCTGTGACCAGTGCGGTGTACATCTTTAACTGGAGGCAGAGAGATCAGCAAAAAGGCTGGGGCGGTAATCCAGGTCAGAGATGGCCTGACCCAAGTGTAAGTGAAGGCGAAGAATTGCCAGAATTTGGTGACCAATTAGATGGGGGAAGGAGGAAGAGTGAGGATTCCAGGATGCTCTCTGGCTCTGGCTGGAGTGACTGGAGGGCAGAGCCATTTTGCTGAGGATGCTGGAGTTGAGCTGGTTTGGACGTGTAGACTTCAAGGAGCCTAGGGTTGGTTTCAGGGTTGGATAACCGTTGGAACTGGATTGGAGACAGATCTGAGAGTCACCAACATATGATGATTCTTGAAGCTACAGCAGAGAATGAGGTCATCTGGGGAGAAATGCACAGAATGAGAAGACAGCCTGCCTTTGAAGGCTGAGGAAGAACCTCTGCAGGAGGCTGAGAACCCATAGGCAGAGAGGGAGGAGGAAAACCATGAAGGGAAGTATTACCAGAGTCAAGGGAAAGGGACTGATGGGGAACGGCCAGGCTCTTGCTTGCTGCCTCGTCCCTGCAGCTAGGTGGCCGTGACTTCAGGCACCCTACCCTGTCCTGCTATGACTCATCCTTCTGCTTCCCCTTTGCAGACCAGATGTTCGCCATCCAGCCAGGGCTGGCTGAGGGGGGCCAGTTCCTGGCAGGCCCGCCCCCTGGAGTATGTCAGCCCGAGCTCCAAGCAGACAGCAACTCCAACTTCATGGCAAGTGCCAAGGATGCCAATGAGAATTGGCATGGGATGCCAGGCAAAGTGGAACCTATCCTGATAAGGAGTTCCTCTGAATCGTCCTCTGACAACCAGGCCTTCCAGGCCCCTGGACTGCCCGAGGAAGGGGTCCGCAGCCCCCCAGAGGGGGCAGAGATTCCTGGGGCTGAGCCTGAGAAGATGGGTGGTGCTGGCACTGTCTGCTCCCCTCTGGAAGACAACGGCTATGCCAGCAGCTCCCTGAGCATCGACAGCCCTGGCAGCAGTCCTGAGCCTGCCTGTGGGACCCCTCGAGGCCCTGGCCCCCCTGATCCCCTTCTGCCCTCGGTGGCCCAGGCTGTGCAGCAGCTGCAGGCGCAGGAGCGCTACAAAGAGCGGGAGAAGGAGAAGCACCACGTGCACTTGGTGATGTACCGTCGCCTGGCACTGCTCCAGTGGATCCGGGGCCTGCAGCACCAGTTGGTTGACCAGCAGGCACGGCTGCAAGAGAGCTTCGACACTATCCTAGACAACCGAAAGGAGCTTATCCGCTGTCTCCAGCAGAGGGCAGCACCATCCAGGCGGCAGGACCAGGGCTAGGCATGTGCCTCCACAAGTGTGCAAGGCTATGTGTGTATATTTGCAGGCATGTGTGTGGTTGTGCACAGTAAGTACATGATTGTTTGCTGGCATGAGTGCAGGTAAGCATAAGAGTGTGTATGTGCTAACATATAGGCAGGTATGTGTAGGCATATGTGATTAAGCATGTGTAAATGAGCTTAAGTGTGCTGTGTGTGCACATGTGTACACACAAGCTAACTTATAAGCAGACCTATGTGTGAGTGTGTAAGAGTGAACATACATGTGTGTATCATGTTTGTAAGAGTAAATTTGTGTGTATATATGTGTGTGGACGGGTACCCAGCTGTGTGTGTATATGTGCATGAGTGAGGATGTATATGCCAAGGATGTGTGTGCATTTGAGTAAGTTTGAGTGTGCGGGCTTGTGTTCAGTGTATGTGAGTGAGACCTTGTGCAGGCCTGTGTGTAGGGGTGTTTGTGTGCAGGTGCAAGCATGGGAAGTGCTTTAGGAGCATGTGCATTTGCAGGCAGACCATTGAACAGGTGTGTGCCAGTATATATCCAGTTGCACCTATGGGGCATCCACCCACACCCTATGTTACCCATGGCTTACCCCAGCCTTTTTTCTCCACTGTGTCCTGCTGCTTCCTGGAGAGAGGGCTAGCCTGCTGTCATTTATAGGAGGGTTGTAGCTGATCCATTTCTCCTGGGATTTCCCAAGCTGCTTCTCCTCTCCCTTCCCCTCACCTAACCCAGACCTTGCTATGCTAAGGCTATTGTCTCTGATGTTGGCTTTGCTGTAAGAGGTTTAGTGGCTGCCCTGGCCTGCCATGGCATTTTTGCCTGGCTGTAATTATGTCAGGGCAGTTGGTGGAGAATTGGTATCAGGGAGGGGAACTGGGGGTGGTGATAGAGATGATGGCGGGGGTGGGGGTAGATACAGAGAAGGAGATAGGGGACTGTCTCTCTTGAATTCTGCCTTTGGGCATACAGGAGATGAGTGTGGGGGAGATGACAGTGGCACAACCCTGTGAAGAACAGGAGGATGGGAATTCTCAAATGCCAGTTCCCAAACAAACCATACCTCTCCACTGGGTTGAAAACCATATTGATTTAAGCTTCTGAGGAAAAGAAACGTGTGTTTATTAGCTTCCAAGTAATAGACAGGCTGTTGGGGAAAATCTCACTTCCCTCTCTGTGCCTCTACCTTGCTGTGCCTCTCTGGCTCTAGCGACATTGGAGGTCAAATTGATTTAGTCCACCTCTCTGAAATCAGACTGTCAAGAGGAGCCAGAGCTCGGCTTTCCAGGGTAGGAAGGGGGCAGTGTTGTCAGCCCAGCTTCTAGAAGTTCTTAGGATGCTGGTCAAAGCCACTTCTTCCACTGCACTGCCTTGAAGCAGAGATTGCCAGGCTCCTGCACGGGCTGAGTTGGAAAGTGGGTGTGTCTCAGGGAGAACCAACGACTAAGATAGCCAAGCCCTCTGCCTTGCCCCTGGGAGCCAAAAGAATGCAAAGTCCTGTTGGGTGAACAGTGGCACGGAAGTCACCGATGCTGCCTTTGGCCCTCAGTGTCCCTATCTGCAAAATGTGGGGGCTCTTCCTGTCTATCGCTAAAAAGTTTCCTCCCTGACGGGTGGGTGGAAGGTAGAGGGAGCGGGGCTGAAGCATGGGCCCTGGAACTTGTGTCTGTACCTCTTGCATGTTGAGTGTGAACCTGGCCTCTGGGACGACCCAGGATGAATAAACTGGGGCAGAGAATTAAATTTCTTGAGTATGTGTTTCTCTTCTGCCTGTTGTCTGGTAGCCTCTTTTCCACACCCTCTGAGCTCCCCTTTTGAGCGGAGTCCTGGACTGGGAGCTGGAGTAGCTCTAGGGGAAGACACTGGGGAGGAGGAATTCAGACTCACAGGCCTGGCAATCCGATGGGGGGGGGGTGGCACCCAGTCCGTCGGGAAAGACTTGGCCTCTGCACTGATAGCCACATAAGGGATTGTCCTTGTCCTAAGTCACCTTTGGGCCTGAATAAATTGTGATATACATACCATACACACACTCTGTCTTATACTCAACTGTCCCCTGGAGTCACCTTTTCCTGGAGGGCTCCCTGACTGTGAAAAACTGAGCTGGGGTCCTTAGCTGGTTTTGATATAGATGTAGTTAAAATATTCAGTTGTCTCTCGGTATTTGAGAGGATTGGTTCTAGGCCCCCTGCTGGATACCAAAGTACAATATATGTGATTCATGGTTGAATTTGAGGATGTCGAATCCATAGATACAGAGGGCCAACTGTATGTATGTGAATTAAGATATTTGTTGATGCCAATTTGGAGTGTATCTTCTATTTTATATTACTTTATATGATTTATTAATTTCTTTTTTTTTTTTTTTTTTTGAGACAGAGTCTTGTTCTACCCTGGGTAGAGTGCAGTAGCATCATCATAGGTCACTGCAACCTTAAACTCCTGGGCTTAAACGATCCTGCCTCAGCCTCCCAAGTAGCTGGGACTACAGGTGTGCACCATGGTGCCTAGCTAATTTTTCTATTTTTAGTAGAGACAAGTCTCGCTCTGGCTCAGGCTGGCCTTGAGCCCCTGAGCTCAAGCAGTCCTCCCGGCTCGGCCTCCCAGAGTGCTAGGATGATAGGTCAGCCACTGCGCCTGGCCTGATTTGTTAATTTCTCAAAAATTCATTACTTTTTCTTTTGTTTTCTGTACCAAGCAGGGCTCTCAAGTTTCTAAGTCTGAGACTTCCCAGATCCAGGGCTGCTGTTGGCCCTGGCCCTGGCTCGAGCCCCTACCCCTCCTATGTCCAATTGTCACTGTAGTTGTCCTGGCCTCTCCTCCCCCAAATTCATTATTTCTATAAAGGTATAGTAGGCTGGGCGAGGTGGCTCACGCCTATAATCCTAGCACTCTGGAAGTCTGAGGCGGGTGAATCGCTCGAGGTCAGGAGTTCAAGACCAGCCCGAGCAAGAGCGAGGCCCCGTCTCTACTAAAAAAAAATAGAAAGAAATTAATTGACCAACTAAATATATATATATAATTAGCCGGGCATGGTGGCACATGCCTGTAGTCCCAGCTACTCGGGAGGCTGAGGCAGGAGGATCTCTTGAGCCCAAGAGACTGAGGCTGCTGTGAGCTAGGCTGACACCACAGCACTCGCTCTAGCCTGGGCAACAAAGTGAGACTCTGTCTCAAAAAAAAGGTATAGTAGTTAGCTACTGCTGCATAACAAAGTACCCTAAAATTTCATGGTTTAAAACAATACCTATTTATTACATCACCATTTCTGTAGGTCAGGAATCTGAGCATAGCTTAGCTGGGTCCTGTGCATCACAGTCTCTTAAGCAAGGTGTCAGTCCTGGGTGTGTGGTCTTGGTTGGTGGCATTCAGTGCTTCTCAGGATGTTGGCTGGAGACCACCTTCAGTTCCTTGCCATGTGGGCATTTCCAACATGGCAGCTTGCGTCTTCAAAGTATGCAAACCAAGAAACAGTAGAGTGCTAGCAAGACAGAAGTCACAATTTTCTGCAACCTAATCCAAGTGTCTTGCCATTTTCTACAGTTAGAAGCAAGTTACTTAAGGGGAAGATATTACACAGGCTGTAAGTACCAGGAGGCCATCTTAGAGGCTGCCTACCGCCGAGGGTATAATTTGATTGCTTAAATAAAGGCATGTTTTATAGATTAATTTTTATACAAATAATTCTACTTATAAAAATGGAAACATTTCAGAGAAATCTCATGGCCCCTTTTGTCCCTTCCAATAAGGCAAACATATTTTAAGCCTTATAAAGTATACTTCTTGCCAGGCGTGGTGGCTGGCCCCCCTAGTCCCAGCTACTTGCGAGGCTGAGGCGGGAGGATTGCTTGAGGCTGGAAATTCGGGCTACAGTACACCATGATCTCGCTCATGGAAAGCCATTGCAGTCCAGCCTGGGCAACATAGTGGGAAACCTATCTCTAAAAATGACAAAGTATACTTCTCATTGAAACAGGCAGTGACCCAGGACATTAATAATTCTTATCATGTCTATACTTGACACTTAAATAGTGACAAAATTGAACCATTTTTAACAAATTCTGCTTATTAAGAGCTGTTTTGGCAAAGGGCTACAGCTAAATTTGAGAGGCAATTTCTAACAATGAGACAGTGTCAAGCCCTCAGAGCACCAGAGGGCGAATTTTCGGGAGTGTCCCTTTTCTAAATGTGCAAAGGCTCTTCTGAGCACAACTGCTGGTTAAGTTACAGACACTCTGGATTAGGACCTTGGCTCCATCGTTTTCCGTTTGTGTGACCTTAGGCAAGACAATTAACTTCTCTGAGCTTCAGTTTCTTTATCTTAAAATGGGGACAATAATAATAACTACCTCCTAGGGTTTTGGGAAGGATTAAGTGATTATGTGATATGTAAAAGACTTAGAACTGTCCCTGACACATAGAAAATAACATTAATGAGAGTTGTGATTATTATAATAAATAGTATTTTTGTGATGCACAATTAACTTTTTCATAGAAAAACAAAATTTTCCTTAAGGAATTTTTTTTTTTTTGAGACAGGTTCTTGCTCTGTTACCCAGGCTAGAGTGCAATGGTATCATCATAGCTCACAGCAACCTCAAACTCCTGGGCTCAAGAGGTCCTCCTGCCTCAGTCTCCCAAGAAGCTGGGACTACAGGCATGCACCACCATGCCCAGCTAATTTTTTAATTTTTTTGTAGAGATGGGAGGAGTGGTTTGATATTGTCTAGGCTGGTCTCAAACTCCTGGGCTCAAGTGACCCTCCCTCCTCAGCCTCCCAAAGTGCTAGGATTACAGGCATGAGCCACCAAGCCTGGCCCTGTAAGGAATTTGAATCTAAAATCTGAAAGTCATCTTTTTTTAAAAAAAAGGCTGTTAAAAAATAAAGCTGGCTAATATTCCTTTTCATGAAAGAGATCTCTGAGCTGAGAAAAATATGAAGGCCAGACCAAGGAAGCACTGTGGTGTACTGTATGTTTAAAGAAACTCTGCTAGTCACTGAGGGTCCAGGGAGAGACCCGGCCGCTGGGTGGTGGCAGGTTTGGGAAGAAGACTGGCAAAAGCAGAGAGTCAGAGCCACAGCCAGGGTGTCAGAGTTGGGGCAGGGAAACAGGCAGGGCTCCACTGGCTGAGCCAACCCAGCCAAGAACTGTGGTTCCCCATCAGGTCCCCTGGCCACTAGTCCTAACCAGGGGAAGTGCCAAGGCTACTGCTGTACCTCCCATGGGCAGACCTGGTCTAGACTCTCTAAACTTAGTTTCTTCGGCTGTGGCACTTGTAAGGATTGAATGAGAAAATGGACCTGAAGACACTCTTTATGCATTAAGAAGATTTAGCGCCTCCTCAGCATAGGCCCTGAGGAGCCTGCCCCTGTCTTTCAGCAGCTCTGTTCGGCACAGGCAGATGAGACTTGCATCCAAAAGCCAAGTGCACAAGCCACTCCAAGCCTAGGAGAGGGGAAGTCAGGACTGGCCTTCTGTGCAGGTCTCAGCCAGAGACAGCTATACCTGGGAGGTTTTAAAGTCACTGGGGTGGGGATTCCTTAGTCCCTGGGACAGTGGGCAGAATAGGGAGGGTTCATGTACTTGGCAGGGGTTTGGCCAGTCAGCCGCCTCCACCCCCTTACTCCTCCCACCAGAATGAAATCACATGACTAGGAGCAAGGACGTCTAACCCAGGTTTTGGGAGCTACGTAAGTCTTGCTCAGTAGGAGACCAGGAGGGGCAGGGCAGAGCAGAGGTCTGAGCAAGCTGCAGGTATAGGACTGGAGCATGAAAGGGACTGGCAGGAGGGCAGTGTGAGGCTGGGTCCATTAAGAACATTCTCTCCAGGGACCCCAACTATGTCGGCCCATCAAGTATGATCAGAGGAGATGCGGTTAAAGGTTGGGTGCGGGGAAATGAACTGGGAACTGAGGAAAAGTGTAAAGAATTGGGCAGATAAGCCTGCAGAATATGGTAGGTGGGCTTCCCAGCGGGGGTTAAAAGGTGGCCTTACTAATAACTTACCTAACAGAGGAGAACAAACTATCGAATAGTAAGAGGAATAAAGTCACAACACATAACTGCCCCTTTAAAGAGAAAACTCTCACTACCACCTTTGTTTTGTTTAATTAAAACATCTGTGGGCTAACTCTTTATCTCTAAGAGTTTCCTTTTCTCAGCCTTGAAGGGCCCTAAGGGACAGTATGGGTGTGAATTCTCTGCCTCAATTCCTCCCAGGACCAGATTCCAAGGATTCAGATAAGCCCCCTCACAGAGAAAAGAAAAAAAATAACACCTGCAATGGCTTCACCACTGCTTCTGTTATCAGTCTGCTGAAGCAGAGGGGGGGGAAAGCCATTTTTACCCTTTAAAACTACTTTCCCACTTCTCAGTGGCCAGCACTTTCCACCTTCCTTCTTGCTATGCCATTTTCCTTCTCTCTCCCTCTCTATTTCCACCTCTCTCTCTTTCTCTCTCTAGAAAGCAAATAAACTTTTACTTCAGTATATCCTAAATCAGGGGTCCTCAAACTTTTTAAACAGGGGACCAGTTCACTGTCCCTCAGACTGTCAGAGGGCTGTTGGAGAGTGCAGCGCACATTCCACACTTGTGCACTGTGGGCCCAGGACAAGTCAGCTGCTAAGCAGGACGGGCAGCGGCTGCAAAAACACCCAGCAGGCCAGATAAATGTCCTCGGTGGGCCGCATGTGGCCCACCAGCCGTAGTTTGAGGACCCCTGTCCTAAATTCTGTGTGCAAA